GATCAATCAGCGACCATACGCTGCCGCTCAGTAACCATAGCCACCCTTGCCTCCTCCTCCTCCTCCCTTACCACCACCACCCCAATGCTGCCCATCACCACTGCCACCCCAGGGCCTACTACTGTACGATGAAGGGCCACCTCCACCACCTTGAGAGGCACCCGAATCCTCAGGACTTGAGTCCCAACCACCACCACCGGACCAGCCTCGTCCTCCTCCTCCTTTACCCTTACCCTTGCCTCCCCAACTACCCCCATACCCTCCATCGTTGCTGGGCCCTCCCTTAGCATAGGGGCCACCTTTGCCGTAGCCATAATCACCACCGGGACCTCCTCCTCCTTTCCCACCACCATAGCCACCCTTACCATAATAATCACCACCACTGGGGGCTGCTGCCCTCTCATATCTAGTAGCACCACCTCCATACGAATCACTTCCTCCTTTATTGTAGGAGTCGTACCCTTTGCCGCCACCACCGCCATAGCGAGAGCTACTATAGGGGTCACAACGGTTACCCTTACCTCTATAGGGAGCCGGACTGGGCGCATACCCCTTACCACGACCACCATAATAGTCGGATGAGTCATCACCTCCCTTGCCGAAGCCGCCCTTCCCACCATAGTCACCGCCCTTGCCCTTACCCCAACCTCCTTTACCACCGCCAGACCAGCCTCCCTTACCACTGCCAGACCAATCACCATTATCACCAGCATACCGAGAGTTGTCATTACCCCAACCACCCTTACTGCTGCCTCCGCGCCAGTCGTAGCCCTTACCACCTTTACCATGGTAGCCGCTACCCTTGCCCCCGGAAAGATCATACTCATCCAGTTGATGCTCCCGTTTGAAGTCATCAATGATCGGTGATATGTCGAGCTCGCCAGTCACGATTTCCCGTACTATACGTGCCTACAAAATGACACAACCTGGATTCGAACCGGATACCTCCGGGATGGCAGCAAGTCCTTACCCCTTCTTCGCAATTTTCCTCAGGTCCAACTAGCACGACTGTCCTCTCCTCCCCAGGACCACCGTCCTCGGTAGGGACCACCTCAATGCGAGTATGCGATCGTCGTTTGATCTCGTCAATAACACATCCCCTGTAACCAATGACCTGACTTAGCCGTATTTCGAAACACGAGGGCCGCAGGGGCTGGCTGACCTTCGCTGCTATGTCGTTGGAAATAACAACTTCCTTTTTCGAATCTCCAGGGCCCACGACAGGCTTACGACATGTGAATATGATCTCTTCGATGGCTGCCTCGCAAGCCTAGGAGTATTGACAGTAGTAGAGATGCGATGATTATGTACTATTACATTTAGGATTTCCTGAGTGTCACCAATGAGATGAAGACTTCTGTTACCATCAGTGTCGCGTTCACCATGATCGGACTAAGAAGAGCACTACTAGTGATGATGCTATTCAAGGATGATGACCACCTTCACTTCACAATGAGTTTGACGTTGTATCCGTTTTATGGTATCGCCCTGCTTTCCTATGACCTTTCCAGCGGCCCAATGAGGTAAAGGGACATCCTTATGAAATCTGAGGAAGGTATTAGTATCAATGAGATTCGGTTATTGCAGTCGCATTAGTAGCATTCAACAGAGTGGCGAAATGCACAGCTTTTTACAGTAAAAAATTCAAAAGAAATGTATCGCCCAGGAAATGTACCCTCGTTCGTACTTGCCATCATCTTCGTCCCCAGTCGTCGTAGCATTCGAGTTAGCAGGAGGTGCTGCATCCCAGTTACTGATTTTAGCAGGGCGAGTAATGGAGGAAGAGGAGGAGGAAGGCTGCTCCTGCCCTTGCCCGTCTTTGCTATCCCAGGAAGCGTCGACACCGGCGGTACGTTTTTCCCCTCGAGGGTAACTATCCTCAACCGAGGGTTGTTGTTGGTCCTCCTGGTGTTGCTGCTGTTGTGGCTCCATAAGGCAGAGAATACCCAGCTATATCGATGCTCATCATAATCACTTCCACTCACTACTCAAGCTACTACAGTAGACAATCGGTTTGATAATTCCGTTGAGGAAATGCAAGAGAGCAAGATTTGCCAATCCTGCCACAGCCAATTCCGGAACGTGTCACGTTAAAATGGCCAACCTCGACGCCGACTTCCCTTCCTTATCTCAATCACTCCTCCTCGGTCGGAGTGGTCATGCTTATACTGTACTGTCCGAGAACCCCACGAGCCGCAACGGCAACAAGTGTGAGCAGTCTATCAAAAAGAAGGCCACCGTGGCCGCTGTAGTCCTCGCCGTTCTCACCAGCTTCTACCTCTACTACGTCAATGCCTATAGAGGTAACCACTGACTTATCCGCTCTCTTCCTCTTGGTGTGGTATCGGAACTGAACTAGTTCCGACATTCAGAATCGGTTGCTTGAGAGGGGCTCATGTAAAATCCGTTACCATCGTCATTTCTCTCAGACCGGCCCCAGTCGCTCCAGCTGAACTCCTCCGCTGCCTTCCTCCTCAACAACGACTTCTCCTCGGTGGGCTTTGAGCACCAGGAGTACCTTGCCGGAGCAGGGCGGAAGTCGCATCTCCTTTTACGGGAGCCTCGACTGTGTGATGCCAACGTGAAGCAGTACTCTGGTTACTTCACAATTGATGACAAGCTCGACAAGAAGTACTTCTTTTGGTTCTTCGAAAAGCGCAATCAACAGCCTACTGAGGCTGCTCCTACAACCATGTGGCTCACCGGGGGTCCCGGATCGAGCTCTATGATCGCGGTATGGTAGAAACACCATTCACCGATTATATGTGTTCTTACAGTTACTAGCAGAAAATGGTCCTTGTCGTGTAAACGAGGATGGATCTAATACTGTTCATAACGAGTACAGCTGGACCCAGAAGACCAACATGCTATGGGTGGACCAGCCACCTGGTATGACTTCGAAATTGTCGTCATCGACTCTGATGCAAACTTGGCAGGTACGGGGTTCTCAACAGGCTCATATGATACCTCTGAGGTTGAGATTGCTGAGGACATGTATCACTTCTTGCAAGCATTCTTTCATCGATTCCCGCAGTACAACAAGAAATTTCACATCACTGGAGAGTCCTACGGCGGCCACTACGTTCCAGTGGTGACAGCCAAGATCATTGATGAAAATAAGAGGCTTCTGAGTAAACTTCGAATCTGCGCCCCGGGAATGACATCTTGAGCATGTTCTAGGTTCACCATCGAGTTCGCTGCTGGGCAGCCATCGTCGTCCCGTTTACATAGACATCAAAGGTATGGCTGTTGGTAACGGTTTGACAGTACCGGCCGAGCAAGTGAAATGGTATTCGAAAATGGTGAGTATAGTGTATATCACCACCGTGGTTTGCTAACATTGATAACAACAGGCGTACAATTCTGGTACTGCACCTTCTATTGTAAACTACATTACTTACCAACAACTGAACGATGCAGGACTCGAGACCGTTGATCTTATCGATAAATGCTATAAGCATCTTGACGTCAACAACGCGGTAGTGAAGAGAACCTCATCACTGTGGAATTGTATTTGATGCTATCACAGAATTCGCCCTTGCCAACTGCGTGCCAGGAGATGAACTACGTTTTCAATGTTAAGCTTTTGAGTAAAGCCCTCGCCTCAGGAGCTAACGAGTGAGCTCATAGCCAAGCTTTAAGGAGCTGTGCATTTGAACTAGGTACGACATGCGACTGAACCACCCCTATAATTTCTCACATTTGGACCGCTTTTTGAATCGCCCCGACGTTCGTGCTGAACTCGGTGCCGTCATCAAGCCGTGGAGTGAGAGCAATACAGGGGTAGAGTACTCCTATTCTTGTGGTTCGTTGGGCTGTAGGGTTGGCTCAGGTGTGGACGGCCTTGGCCCCTCGAGATTTCCTGGCCGACTACACTTCCGCTGTCCAGACAGTACTGGCCTCGGGGGCGAAGGTTTTGATATATGCTGGAGATCAAGATTTTATATGCAACTGGTTAGGGAACAAAGCATGGACTGAGAAAATAGAATGGAAATTCAGTAGAGATTTTGCGCAGCAACCCTTGTTAGAAATGAATGCTCAAAAAGCCGTCCCAGAAGCATCAGGTGAACAGATTATGGAACCTATCCGTCCTTTGAAATCATATGTGATCTCAGGAAATGGTGAAGATGCGGAGATCGTGAAGGTTCCTGTTGGCTTGTATAAGGGCTTCAAGAACTTTGCATTTCTGCGTGTTTTTGGTGCTGGTCATATGGCACCTATGGACAAACCTCTCGAAACACTTCATATGTATGAAACCTTCATCGATGGACACCTTTTCCAATCGTATGAGGATTAGATAGCCTCTGTTGTTGTCATGATATCTGTGCTGGAATATCATCAGCAATGACGGAGGTTTTGATATAGAGTGTATATATACACAGGAGATCACTTCTCCGCAGTTCTGTTATCAGTGTGGCATAATGTAAGGAGTAGATTGTCTTTTATCATGGCAATAGTGTCGTAGCCATCAATTCTGTTGTTTGTCTATTACCTTTTAACCATATTGCATCTCCTCACGTTTACAGATGTGAGCAGTGCATTAATGATGTAGTGTTGTCAATACCACTACTATGCATATTCAAGTGTTTAGTTGAAGTATGTACACAGCATCTGAGCTTTATGTGTGACGGATGCTCATTCGAATAAGCAACTTCCATAGTGGAGTAAAAGACAGTAATCAAGGCGGTAGTATGAGATACTGTTACTAAATACAGAGTATTACTCATACTCGCTACAGTTCCATAATATGGATGATACGCCAATGGGATTGATGCGGCTTAAATGAGGGGAAAAGGGAAATGTCCATGAGCATGGCTTCCGTTACTTAGGTGGTTACTCAGACTTTTGTGAGTCCCTCATACTTGTGAGTATTATTGTTGAAAATACTAACGAAATTGACAGGTCCAGTTGATACGTAAATGGCGTGCCACAACACCTGTGGTTGATTCGGGTGTCTCCGATAGATTCACATGCTTCTTCTCGGTTTGCATGTTATATGATCAATAACGGCTGCAAAGTAATCATCACAACTTTCGTTACCCGACTGAAAATGTAGGCAACTGCATCACGAATACATCTTCGAAGTTTCCAGGCGGATAAACAATGCATAGAATACGTTCTATTCAACTGGGCACCAAATGTGATGACTTTTCTCTCCCTATCACTGGCACACAAGAGCATTCTAGTGATATTGGAAACCATCAACATTCCCTATCACAAATTGACAAGCACGACAATTAATACACAGTACTTGTCCTTCGTAATAGTAGGGCAGAGAGTGATGACTATAATGAGAGATGAACTAAGAGTATCATCAAACGCCAGTGAGACTAGCAGCAGCAGCAGTGTCATCATCATCACCTGTGCTGGTGACTGTAACGCAATTTACATGAAGTCATCATCAGAGTCACCATCCCACTCCTCGAGGGCTTCCAATTGAACAGCGTATCTGACCATGATCGATATCACACTATTCCTATCGTGAGCTGCTCACCGCAAGAGGCCACCAATACCACCAAACCCACGGACGAACTGGGCGCCTTCCTCACTTTTATCGGTCACGAACTCCAACTTGGCCTGAAGAGAACTAAATCGACACATTTCATAGGGAAGTAATTCTGACTCCGAAGCTCTTGTAGTTATTGACCAACCACTCAGTGATAGGCATTTTTTCCACAACAGTAAGCTCTACACCTGTATCGGCATCCCGGAAGTAGCTCTCTTGTACTTCCCTAATAACAAGCCATCATAACCTCCTATGCGAAAGAGCCTACTGTTCGGGTGAGAGGTAAAGGACATCCTCAGTGTCGGTATGAGGGTTCCGGATGTGATAACGGTTGATGGCGAGATTCTCGAACACTATAAGGGTCTCCACAGCACCCATGTCCAAACACTGAGGAAGGAGCATAAGCGCCATGAGCTGGGAGCGCGTTGCTGCCGACCTTTAGAGTATCGTCAATACCAAAACAGACCTTTCCCGTATCCTGGGCTACCTCCTCGAAATACCTAAATTCATATCAGTGAGTATTAGAGTGCATCATTATGGAGTACTTCGTGATAAGCTTTTTCTCCTGGATGAATTTGACGTTCTTCAACGTATCAGAGGCAAGCTCAATCGCTTGATTGAAGCCGTTCTCTCCACCGTAGCTGACAAGGAGCACTCCACACACCTTCCAAAATTGGTATGAGCATTACCTCACATCCACCACTTTGATAAGGATGGCCGCTAAACGCGGGTCGAAAAACTGCGAATTGGCCAAGTCGTTCTTGAACTCGGCACTTCCTGCTAACACCTGCAACAAGTTCCATTTGTAATTGGAAAATGAGAGCTCTGAGATTCGTACAAGTCCGGCGATATTAGGCCTATCGTTAGTGATGAAATGTTGCGTCAAAAGCTCAGCAACCTGATATCAAAAGGCGTACTGTAGCTACGAGGCTGGAATTGTTGTTCACCTTGGTCAGATAGTTATGTCGTTTTTCAAGCCTTAATCGAGCAAAACGCATGGAAGACTGACCACCCCTTCCGTGCTTCTTGGGAAGATCTACTGAAAACTTGTAAAGTACCTCTCGGTTAGAGCCCTGAGAGAATTGGTCAGGTCCGGCCCGGCGACGAGGACAGTGTATTACTTGTACTGTGCCGAAGAGACTTCCATTACCATCCATAATCAAGAATCCAAACTTGTCATCGGACTCTAAGAGCTGATTCAAATCCTCAGTGTGAAACTTGTTATCACACAAGTACCTACAGGGGGGAGAATGACAACGCATAAGAGCGGTGAGCTACAGTTTAGTATTGATAGGCTTGAAAGGCTCAAAATCAATAGTGACCTGCTTTTCCTTGCCATCATCAGTGAGAACAGTACCACAGTAAAGTACCAAACCATTAGGGGGGGTCCTATTGTATCTATATGAGCACGGTGATGCCTGTTACAGTAGCTTGAGTGAGAACTCACAATTTCAGTCGCTGCTGAGTAGATGTAATAGCAGAAAGAACAGACAATCTGTTAACCCGTGACTTGATATTGGACGCGGTACCATACCTAATGACCCGAGTGATAGGAATGCACTTAGTAGAATAGCAATACTCTTCTGCAAGCATCTTTGCCATCTGAGCAACTTGGGTTTTGGGAGGGATGATCAATGAGATCATCGAAGTACCTGTGAAGTGCGTTAATGCTGGTGCTAGAGTCGTAGTAGTACTAGTAGTAGTAGTAGTAGTAGTAGTAGTAATGGTAATAGTAGTACTAATAGTAGTAGTAGCAATAGTAGTAGTACTAATAGTAGTTACCGTTCCCCCGAGCTGCCTCCAAGCTTTTGATCAACCTCCGAATCTTCCATTGTTCGATAGCGGCTTCATTGGAATCCTCAACAGAACTCATTATACGTTAGGAGAGGGCGGAGGAGAAGGAGGAGGAAAACAGAAAATGGCCTCTCACTTCTGCGCTACAGTCTTTCATAGTCTCCAAATGCACCCACCGTACAAGTTTCCGTGCCGAATCCGTGACTAGAAAATTGTAAGAATATCCACATTCTTGTAGATCACAAACGCCCTCCTCAAAGCCAGTAGGCTGATCTTATCTTACTGTTACCCCGCAAATCGTAAGGATGTGAAAGCCCCTTGCAATGAAACCGTACGGTACTTTACAATTTTCGCTCCTTATGGTGGCTTGTGAAATAGGCCTCTGATTAGGGACACTTCACCGAGTGTCACCGGATTTCACCGATGTCACCTAATAAAGAGTAGTGCAAGTGCATGTAAACAGTAGAAAACGGCGTCGCGCGAAGCGCGGCGTTAAGAAACTCACGGTTGTTGTGGTGTAGCGGTTAGGGTTCTAGTTTATCATGTAGGTCGCCCAGGTTCGATTCCATGCTTGGTAGGTAATATATTAAACACCGTTTCTTGCGAAATAAAACGAAGTAATCAGTGGTTACTACGAATAAACGAATACCTTACGTGGACCACGTGACGTGGTTACTAATCACGTGAGGTATTCGTAGTCCGAAATTAATAGTTTCGGCTCGTGAACGCATTCTTCCGGGATAGTTCAGCTATTATAGTTGTATTATCCGAGGCAAGCAGCATCTTGTACATTACTCCTTTGCTCTCACATCGGCAGTGATGAGCCACTGCGCGCACCAGTAGACAGCACGTATGTACAGCTT